GGGTATATAGATAGGGAAAGATAGGGAGGGAGGAAGAAGGAAGTAAGTAGTAGTAGTAGTGGTGGTGGTGGGAAAGGTAAACAAGGTAAGGTAATAAACAAGAGACAGGCGAACAGGAGAGGAGTAGTAGTAGTACCAGCGAGTAGTAACCAGAGCCAGACTAAGAGAGGGAAGTGAATCAGTCGCAGTTCAGCGAGCATCTCGTGAGGTCACAGCGGCGGAGGAGCCAATCCCCTCCGGCTGCTGCTCTGACCGCATCCGGCTTTTGTTTACTTTTTCTCTTCTCGCGCCCCTCGGCAACTGGCGGGTTTCTCTTTGTCGATCGCTTTGTTATTGTTGTTGCTGCCAGTAATTAACTCTGGTTCTACTCAATAAGAACTCTCTTCTCTCGCTTGAAGAATAATATACAATGCTTCATTACCAGCCCTTGTCTAATGTCTATCAATGTAAAAGTATCCGTACATGAGATGATGTCTTTCCTCCTATAAACAAAATGCGCGCCCTGAACCACAACCACCCGATCATGCAATCATGCAAGCTCTCAACATGCGGGGAAAACGACGGGAGGGGAATGGGAATCCAATAATTAGAAGACAAGAAGCCGAAAAGAAAGAAAAAGAAGAAAGAACAAAGTAAAAATCATACCACTCCCGTCCGGTCACCCCTTCCAACATAGCCGTCTATAATGCTCATGCTCATGCTCATGCTCCGGTTGTGGTGCGCTCTTTTCTTTTTATCTACAGCGGACACCCCCACCGTGTGTCCCAGACACCCGCTGATAGTAATCTCACTATCGGCTCGCAGATGCCAAATCTTCAATGCAAGTTAAAAGCTTACCCTCACAAAGGGCTCAGATCATCCACCCCCTGGTAAGCTTCCAGTTTCTTCAAAAGGTACTGGTACATGACCAGCATTGTTCCACTTTGAATACTGGTCCACACTCCGCGGGGTCCGACTCCGCGGAACCACCCCGCAATGCCCTCGGTCTGGTAGATCATCTTCAAGCCAGTGAAGAAAGACGAGGTATCCAGACGGGGAGCCCCGGGCGGCGCGACCGACGTCGATGCTCCAGACGTCGAGATGGGTCGCGAGTGGGTGCGCAGGGTGGACGTCGTGTGCGATGACGTATGCTGGCGCGGGCTCTCCTTCGTCGACGCAGGTTCACCCGCCGACTTGGTCGAGCTCAAGCTTTCCGGGTTCTGCTGCGTCTGGATCCGCGTCTTGACAACGTCCATCGGGCAAGTCATCACACCTGCCATTCCACCAGCCGTAACCGCAGTCATAATTTCCAAGGGCAGTCCAATGTCTCGCGAGCCCACCCATTCCTTCGCCAACCGTTGTTCTTGCTCGTAGAATGCGAACTGCAGGGCCGAGAAGGGAAGGTCACGATAGATGGTCGCCCGGTAGCCGTAGAAGAGGGCAGAGAAACCCTCCTGGCGAACAATCGTGCGTAGAGCATCGGTGGTCGAGCGGTAGTTGTATCCCGAGTTAAAATGCGGGTTGTTGTGGCGTCCCTGCAGCTGCAGCCGCGTCTTCAAAACCTCGGAGGGAACGTATACAATGGAGGCAGCCAAATCGGCGAAGAAACCTAGCGGCAACCGAATTAGTATCGCCCACCCATGGCGAAGCAACAAACACCCTTACCTCCAGACAGGTACGCGATATTAGGGTTGATCCCAGAGTCGATCATCTTCCGCTTGGTGAACTCGTAGACACCAAAGAAGATGACCGTTCCAGGGAAAGACCCAAACAGCGCCGGCGTAACACCACCGTACAGACCACGGAAGAATCCCTCTTGTCGATAGATGGTCGCATACGACGAGGTCATAGAGGTATATTTCGGAGGGAAGTGGGGATCGCCTTGCTGTCGAGTCTTCACCGTATCTAACGAATGCATGAGCATGTCACCGCAGGTACCACCGGTACCTCCAGCCAGCATAGCCTATCCAAGCAACAATGGTCAGAATACAGCTGAGGGTATATGCAATCAAGACAAAGCTTGTCGAATAGTCGCACTCCACGAGACCAACAAACATACATGTAGATAGGGAGGCCGAGGCTCCTCCTCGTCCGCGAGGGACGTAGCCTTCTGAGCATTATGGTCGCTGGATGCGCTTATCGGACCGGCGGAATGAAAGACATGGTCGCTGCTAGCGGGAGCAACGTTGGGGAACTGAGAGGCCGACGCAGGAGAAGGGGGATCGGTAGACGGTGTCTCTGTCGTCGTGAACAGGCCCAAGACGCGCGAGGTCAAGCTCATTGCAAGGATACCGCAACCCACCGGATCGTGGTGCGGACCAGACCACGGGGGTTGGGATGCGGCGAGCGACTGTGGTTTAACGGAAGGACGCCACCCCGGACAAGAATGGGATGACAGTCGAGAGGAACTGGGCGTAGAGCAAGGCGGGAGAAAAGGTGGATTCCGGGGGAATTTATGTTGCCAACACTGGTCGGGAGAGGGGAGTTGGGAGCATCGCACCTCTCGATGATAAAAAAGATCTTTCGGGCATCATCGCCAGCGTCCGGGAGGCCCCAAAATTTCGGTCGGTTTCCTGTTTTCTCCGCCGTCCGAGTTAGAATCGCAGCCTCAGGCATCTGTCTCTTAAAGCTTCCGCCGGGCAATCCGCCTATCGCTGCGTTGCTTACGCGCTGACTGAGCCGTGGCCACTGCATCACAATTCCGCGCTCGATCGGAAGTCTAATCGGACCCGCCGGACGCCGACGCTCTCCATAGGCTAATTCCGATCCTACTAATCCCTCATAATCCGGTGGGAAGGCAGAGTACGACAGCCACTAACATTATACTGTCGCATTGGAATATATAACAATGAGACGTATTCAAGGACAGAAAAAAAACTTGCTGAGACATTTCACGTAACCTTCCTCCGCGTTCTCCCCCTGAGCAATTAAAAGTACCATCCCGGATGTTACTCCCAAATCTCGCTTCGTCTCGCCTCCACTATTCACAACCTTCATTGTTCATCAAAGGGCCGTGCTCCTCGGCCAGGGCGACATCGCTGGCCATGGAGATTCATTACTGGCACATCAGTCTCAATGATCGGTGTCCAGAACAAACGGCTCCCAAAAATCCTATGCACGTAGAATCACGGGGCAGTTCACCAATTCCGTTGTTATCCTGAACGTCCTGAACCAATCCTGATGGCCCTCTATTGGGGCTTCTTCGCAGCACCGGAGCTCATACGGTTGAGATCCGTAGCCTCGTAGGCCTGGCCCACGGCAGCCTTGAAGGACTCCCAACCCTGGCGAACCGCAGGGGGGGTGCTCTGGTGGGAAACCGAAGCATCGACTCTCGCGATGAAGTGGCGGACCGCCTGCTGCACAAAGGAGCTCTGGGAGTATCTGGCGCGGAAGAAGGCCAGGTAGAAGAAGAACAGCACAAAGCTACCCTTGGAGAAGGTGAGGATGCCGACGGCCAAGCGGAAGAGGAGAGACATCTCCAGCTGTGCGACCAGGTGCATGCTGGCGTCATAGTACTGCTTGACGAACCGTCCAATGGTATCGGCCAAGGGAGAAGGTCTGGCGGCGGGCTTAGGACCGCTAGGAGAAGCGGGAGAGGCCGGGGCACCAGGGGCGGGACCCTGAATGGTGGGAATCAGGTGGGCACGAGTGTAAGTCGCAACATGGAAGATGGAGTAGACGCTGAAAGGAAGCAGGGCCAACGGGATCTGGCGCGAGTAGAGCCAGACCAAAGCCATACCTAGTTACGCTTATCAGTATCATTGTCTTCGCTCTTTGATCGCCATCACTTACCGAGGTACTGAACATTTTCATCACCAGCCAGCTTCAGCGCAATGTTGGGAACACTGCCCTGGAGACGGCCACGGGCAATGTGTCCCTTGTACACCACAATTCCGTATGTCGCGGCAGCGGAAACAAACGCAAGGCGGTAGGCTACCTGCGCCGACGAGGAGTAGTAGTTGAACGTAATGTAGGACAAAACATAGCGGAAAACCGAAAGGAGAAGCGTCACATGCCTATGATGCGTTAGCGAATGTGCTCGGTCCGACCGTTCAAAGCGAGAACTGGTGAGGGATGGTGCGGTGGGCAAGTCCTGCTGGCCAGGCCCAAGACCGTGGTCTTATTGTATGATGAAACGTCGCCAAAAAGAACAGACAGTGCGAAATAGGGCGGAGCTATAACCTACCCAGCGAACCAAGCAAATCTGAGTAGGGGAGACCTCGTCAGTACCAGCCGTCAGTTCCGGGACATGCGACACATACTGCAGTGTTTGAGCCAGAGCCTTGAGTCTCTCAGGCAGAGGCAGATTAGCGGGCGGAGCAGGGGCCATTGCGATCGCTTGTCTCGGGAAGTCGGATGAAGAAGCAGGAATGTAGGGAGGGTCGTTGGTTAGTAGTAAGAAAGGGCCGAGATACCGGGGAGTGGAACGGCGGTGCGGCAATGGAGCAGCCAACAGCAATAGTAGATGAGGAGGGAAAGGGAAAAGGAGGAGAAGGAACGAAGAAAGAATATCGGGGAAACTAATTGAGCGGTGGAAGCAGATGGATATCCACTTGGGAAGGGAGGCTGGGCGGGGACAGCGGTGGGTTTTGGCCTTGAAGGGAACGAACGGCGGTTCTGGTGCAAGTTGGAGAGAGTAAGTGTGCCAGCTGAGGGAAGAAGCTACTACGTACTACTTTTAGTCCTACTCAGCCTAGTCTCCCTCGGTCAACTGGTTCGTTCGAGCATCAGCCGCACTCCCGTGACGTCGCCCGCCCGCAATGATGCAACACAACCGTCGGTGGAAAAAAGCTTATCGATGTCATGATCCAGGCGAGCTCTTTCCCATGTCGTGTGCAAATCTATTCTGGGTAATTGTTGGTTAGTAGGTATCCGGATTATTGATTGCATCTACTGATTGGGTCTTCCGGTCACTGAGGGCTCTTATGCCTAGCAAAATCAATTCCCTAAAGAAGCATCCAGGGGTATCCAAAACATGAGCAACTACAGACAATACTCTGATACCCTATGCTTAATACGAATAGAATTGGAGATTCATCGTGAGCGACAAAGCTGCCCCACCCACATTTCTCGGTGTTGAGCTGGATACTGCTCGATTGTTTTGGATTGAAATTACTATGTCACAGTAGGCATATATCCACCCTACACGCTTCTTACTGAATACGCCTTTCGTCGAATGAGCTCTGCTGCTGTCGCACCCAGATGGCCATGGAACAATACATCACAACCGCCCGAAGCACCTCCAGCTTCGTCTTGCTTTCTTCGCTCATACACCTCCCGCTTCCATTATCGTATCGTTCGCTCTTCAATAACACTTCAGATTGACAACTAGCGCACAGAAACAGCAGAGGAACAAGGAAAAACGTCCAGAAAATAAAAAGATGGTCAGGGGTGGGTGATCTCACTAAAATGGTGTAAAAGAGGCAAAAAAAAATAAAAAGTGTACCGAAGACGAAATAAAAAGTAGGAGTACCAGGCCACAACGGGGAATAGGAAATCGGACGGGAACAAGGTATAGCGTAGGCAAAAGTACATAACAAGAAGCGAATGGTGGACATGAAGCAGTGAATTCCGAACCCAAAGCGGTCTTCCAGGCCGTCACCCCGTGCGTCGTCTTGCGATTCCACGACCAGAAGCACGGGAGCATCCAGACATTATCACCAAGCTGGATTCAGCTCCGGTGTTCCGGCCACATCTCCTAGTCAAGCCCCAACTGGTGGTTGGTTTCGGCTGAAGAAGAGAAAAAAGAAACAAAGGCTGTCTTTTCTTCTGCGGTCCACCCGGTCGATAATAGAGTCATTACTGGAAGCAGATACGAGAAAAGTAGAGGTTTGAGGGAGTGTGGGGGTGAGAACAAATAAACACAAGAGAAAGAGGCGGCGGGTTAGAAAGAGCGTGCGGTCAATCGGGAGTCGTGGAGAAATCAACATAAAACCACCTGAGTGCCTCCGACGACCATCCGTAACCTCGGTGGTCCTTGATGTAAGTCCCTTGGCAAAGGCATCGGGGTACCAGTCATGCGTGCGTGGTGCGTCTAACGAAGCGAGAATCCCTTTCGCTTCGGCTCCTTTTCGATTGGCCTCCCACTTTCGAGGCGCGCCTTCTTCTCGTCCAACTCCAGACGTTGCCGTTCCAGTTGGTCCTTCATCTCGCGATGTCGGGCGTATAGTTCGTCTTCGCTCTGTTTCAGCTTGCTCTCCTTCTCTGCGACCTTCTGTTGGAAGACCATCTTCATCTCGGCCTCCATCTTGGCGAGCTTCTGCTCGTGGAGGGCACGCTCCTCCTCCTGCTTGACAGCGGGGTTGACCTCCTTGAAGACGCTTGGGTCCTGGGCCACGCCCATCTGGGTAAGCTTGTCGGAGCGGTAGTTCTCGTACAGAGAGTTGTTGGTGTGTTCCTTGAGCTCCTCCATGTGGGTGCGGATCAGCATCTGGCGCAGCTTGACAAAGTCGCAGTGTTCCTCGTTGTCGACTTCGATGATACCCCAAGGATAGCTTCTACCGCGCACTTTCCGGCCATCAGGGGTCGTGACCTCGGAGTTGGCACCAACGACAGCGAACGGGACCTTGGACATGATCTCCTGGTTCTCGGCAATAGTCTCCTCGTCGTCAAGCTCATAGCGGGGGCCTTCGAAGATCTGAATGGAGTGGTGCTGAATATCGGCCAAGATCTGAGAGTGATTGCATCAGCATACTATACTAAAAGAAATGGAACCAGGGGTCAACCTACCCTCTTCTTGAAGTCCACAATCTCCTCGTCCGTCAAGGTGTCAGCCTTGGCGATCACAGGGATCAGGTTGACCTTGGTGTGCAACCTGCGCATGACTTCGATATCGAGGGGCTTCAGGGAGTGGCCAGTGGGTTGGATGAAGTAGACGCAAGCGTGGATGCGGTTGTCGACAATGTTGGTTCTGTTGACCTTGTTCTCGGCCTCCAGGTAGGCATCGTATCTCTGTTCGATGTTCTCCACAATCGGGCGCCACGAGTCGTCGTTGTTAACAAAATCACCGAATCCGGGGGTGTCCACCACGGTCAGGCGGAGACGGACACCGTTCTCTTCAATATCGGAGCTGATAGATTGGATAGAAACGGTCTTGGGGATGATATCGTGGCTGGGGCCGGTGCGTTCCTTAGGAGGGTAGAGCGAGGCGTTGAAGAGTGTGTTCACGAGAGTCGACTTTCCGAGGCCGGACTCACCTAGTGGCGTATTAGATTGGACAAATTGCAGCCATGCGTGGCTCCGCCTGTTGGGCACTTACCAACAACCATCACGTTGAAGTTGAATCCCTTGCGGACACTCTTACGGTGCCATTGGTTGGGCAGGTTGGCAAAACCAACGTAGCCGGTCAGCTTCCGGCGAACGACATTCTTCATATCCGTAGCAGCTTGAGCAACAGCCTTGGGGTCCTTGGAGCTCACGGTCTGAGCGTTTCCCGCGCCCATTGGGTTACTGCGCTCAACGAAGGGCGAACTGGGCTTGCTGCTGGGGGGAGAGGACGAAACGGGCGTGCCATTGGCAACCGGTGCAGGGGGTGGTGTAGCTACATTGTGCGAAGCAGAGTCAGCAACTGGTTCATCATCCTGTCGTTCACTTTCGGAAGACAAGCGATCGAGGGCAGGCGAAAACGAATGGCGCTTCGGTCTCTGCGAGCCCTTCTGGAGGAAGCTTGGAGGAGCTTCCGAATCTCCTTGAGAGCGTCCATCCGCACTTCGGTTCCTGGAACGTGCCATGGTGGTATCACAACGCGCTAGGATGCAGGGTTTCGGACACGATAGGGAGAATTGGTGGCAGGTAGAAAAGGGGGGATGTCTCTTTCAAATCCCAGGTTGATGAAAGGAAGGGTACAGGGCGACAAGCTTACCCATTGTGGAAGTGAAGGGTGTGCAGGTAATATGAGAAGCGAGCGTAGAGGAAGCAGGTGGTAGCGAGCGTCGATGAGGAAGTTCCCCTGAATAGGTAGTACCTTCTTCGTTAGCGACAAAGTCCTTGCAGGAAGCAGTCAAGGGGAAGGTCTGGAAGCCGCAATAATCGAAGCAGCAACGTGGAGGATAACCGTATTCCACGTATGGTCTGTGGGGATGCAGAAGAGAAGGTAGGGAGGAGGGGAGGGGGGCCAGAAAATAGAGGAGCCAGCCTGCGTACCTGGATACTATTATTCACCGGTAAAAGGGTGAGGTTCAGTTCAATAACGAGCCAAGAGGATGGGATTATAGCTGGAACCCAAGGAGGATCTCAAAAACACAGCTAAAAAAGCAGAGTGTGGAGGAGATGATGCGAAACGAAACAGGAAAAAAACAAAAGTCGGGGAGAAGAAATGAAAAGGACGATGAAAGAGAGAAGTGAATACGTACTGAGGGAACAGGGGAAAGAGGGAGAGCGATTGGGACCTGCGGAGTGATGGGGGTGTGGTTTAGTCGTTGGAGCCAGACTGTTTGGTGGCCCTGTCCGAGAAAGAAAGGGGGGGCTCTGGTTTCTCTTCTCTCTACTTTGCTCCAAACTAAACTAACCTAACTTACTGACTGACTGTATGGGAAGGCAGGCTAACTAGTTAATCAACCCTTTTAGTCCTGCTGTCCTGTCGCCCACTTTTATTTTATTTCCCCAATGGAGGGTTTGATTGCACACCGTTTGGTTTTTAAATATGACACTTTTTCATCCTCTCTATCTATGATCAATTGGAGTTTCTTTCCCAGCGTTACCTATTGTTTACACCCCTCCCACACTTATCTAGAACCGCGACATTCCGAATTTCAACGGCTCCATGGTCATCATTATTTTACTCGGAACTTCATTGCGAACTAATTACCCTGAAGTATTTTAACTGTCACTACTGTACTTACCTACTACCTTAGCAACAGAACCAGTGATTTTTTTTTTTTTTTCTTAACCGGACATGTCCATAACAAATAAAAAAGCAATAAGAAAATCCCCCAAAGTCAAACTTAAAGTCCCTCGAGATCTTTTGGACACCACTAGCTTAATAAGAGATGCGAAACCATTCTCCCCGGGGGGTCAGGTGTACTACAGTACGAAGTCAGTAAGATCGTGGGGAACGAATTCAGCCAACCAACCAACCAACCCTGGAGCCATTGACTATCTAGTAACTAATAGGATGTGCATCCGGGAATGGGAGAATTCCACTTTGGGAGGGCGAGGTTTTGGAGCTGTACAATCAGGAAGGCCTGATAAATGATAAATTGAACTCCTGACCCGTGTGTCCTGCACAGTGCTCAATCTACCGGACCTTGGGTCGACGGCAACCACTCCCAGGTTTGCTTTCCAAGACAGATCCGCTGCGGGTGGGCTATTATTAGTTGGAAGGACGGTGCGAATCATCTGGGACCTGCAAGTATCATCCGATGGCCATTTATACGCAAGCCCAACCCACCTGTCTTGAACGACATACAGATAATCGGGCGTAAGAAGCAGCTGGTAAGTAAGCTATGGAATCGGCAGGAAAAGAAAAGGTTGCTGGCACCGCACGGGACAACACCTTCTCTCCTTCGGGAGGAGCAAAGCAAAAGCAGGCTAGTCTGTATTTCCATGCGTAACCGCGTAACGGGCGGGACGGCAAGCAGTCAGGGGGGAGGAAGAATACCACTGCACCGACTAATACCCATAATGGACACTGACTCTGTTGTGTCGGGGCCGGAATAACATCGTATGCCGTAAGTTGCAGTCAAGGCTTTTCCTTCCTCAGCCAATCATTGCTGCTTCGCCCAACGGTCTGGAAGCAGGCGTCACACCATAGGAACTTGCCGGTTAATTCTAGCACTACTACGAAAGAGAAAGTATTTGAGTCCAGTCGATCCGAATTTCATTCATCTCTCTCCGAATTTACGTCCAAAATGTTACTTCCATGAAAAGGAGGGGTTGTATAAGATATTTCCTTCTCTGGGATTCACCCTCTCCCCAAAACAAGATATCACCCTACCTGCTTCCTGTATCTACTTTCTATCTAATTAAACCACCCTATCCTTCTATAAATATCCCAAACCCAATGAAACACCACCACCACCACCAACCCTGCATCGCCCATGATCGAACCAGTGCACAGAGCAAGGGAGCCAGAAACCCGACTCGGAGTAAATCATGAGGCTACACAGTTACTTACACACACACTTACTCCTGCCTCTGCCTCACACACAACAAACACCCCCCTACACCGCACATCAACATCCGAACCTATCGTAACCACCCAACATGCAAGACAGGTTTGAAATAACCATGGCAATCGGGCATATTTTTCATCCTGCAGTAAACAAACATACATACATACATACATACATGCAGCAACTACAGTAAATACTACTACTACGTACAGTATTACTTAATTAGTGCAAGCTCGCTTAACCCCAACTACTACTACTAATACTAGTAGTACTAGTACTAGTATAGTAATGACCTCCCAGTAGGGATAGGGATACAATAATGGCATGTGATATATCCTATATTGAGGCACGTATTCATGATTGAGGATGTTACAAGTCGAATCCATTTCCCCCCCACTTACTGTACAGAAGGTTTGGCCGGGGAGGGTTCTCGTTCTATGATCGTAGATCATGGATACGAACGAACGAACGAACGGACGGACGGACGAAACGAACATGGATCGGCGTCGCGTCCTGGTTTATGACATGTTATGCACATGACATGCAGGTGATAATCGATAGTGTTGCCAATAAGCAAACTTTAGGAGGAAATCATGTTGGAGGGCTGTTGGACGTGTCTTGTTGTTGTGGTGTTTTGGGTACAGTATGGTGATGTGGTACTACTTGCTATGGTGGTGGTGGACGGGATTTCCTAGTTAGCTAGCTAACGATGGTTGTGTTCAGTTGGGGTCAACGGTCCTTTGTATGCCATGTTTTTAGTATACATTTACAGGGATGTCAAAAATCCAAGTACAGAGTAAGAGAGGCAGAAGGACTATGCTAAATGTCATCCAGATAGATGAGCCCGGTTCATTATGCGATAATCATCATAACAATGGGGGAACGCGGTTGGGAAAAAAAATAATACAAGCAACGGGCTTAAGACGTTAAATTATTTTCCAACCTTCGTCTTCTTCTTCGGCCGCGCTCCCTCCGCCTCTGACATGGGCTCATCCTCGTCATCGTCTTCTCCATCAGATGCATCACCCATCTCGGCGTCACTGGCACTGCCGCTGCTCTCGTGCGCGGAGTCGTATTCTTCCGCCACGTCAGAATCAGACTCAGCCTGGAAGTCCTCGTCAATGGATTCTTCGTCTTCATCGGCCGAGCCGCGGTCAGCCCGGACACCCTCGTCGTCGCTGGAGCCCATGTCGTCATTGTCAAGAGCTGCCGCAATGAGAGCCGAGGCCTAGTCAGGGAGGTTAGTGATGATGAACACGCGAATGGATGAGGAATTTGCAAGGTTACACATACATCGTCGGACATTTCGTTCTTGAAGCGAATGTTCTTCGCCTTGAAGAATTCCTCGAGGGGTTGTTGCTCCTCGCTAGGGAATGTTAGCCTCTGCTAAATATTTGAGCGTTATAGAGATCCACATACCGGTTGATGTTGCTGAATTGGTGTTCTCCCAGGCCAGCCTTCAAGCTAACTGTGATATCAAATGTTCTGCTGGCCGAGATGGCACCACCCACACGAGACATGGTGATGATCGCAATGTTCTCAATCTGGATGTAAGTGGCAGGCTTGGGGACGAAAATCAAGCTCTTATCCAAGAAGTAGAGGAGACCCTCGTTCGCCTTGATGGAGCACTTGACTCCACTGTGACCGTGATGGCTGTAGGATGTCAGTAAGTAGAGCATAAGCTAGCATGGGATACCGTTTCACTGACCTGACAAAGTCCTTCGACGGCATGATGACCTTCTTGCCTGACAGGCCACGGAAGATCTTCGTGACCACCTGGTGGATGGGTTCCTCGTAGCGGGGCTCCAACTTGTCCTTGTAGCGAGTTTCCAAGAGTTCACTGATAGATTGTCAGCTGTATGCGATCCACTGATTCATCTGCTGTACTCACTCTGTCATGTTGAGCTCCAAGCTGATTTCCTCGTCCAACTTCAGCTGCATTACCAAGAATGGGTAGCGAGTCTGGCCTTGTCGTAGCGGGGGATCAAGACCCAGAACGATCAATGTATGTGTGTCATCGTTCTTCGGAAGCAGGAAGAACTTCTTGATAGAAGCGTATTGAATCTTGTAGTCGTAGGTTTTACCGCGTAACCGAAAGGATGATTCGTACATGTCGATATCGAACCGACCTCTGCAATTTCGTTAACACACATCCAAGATATCGTCTGGGTGATACGCACCTGGGTGTAAGATGCAGGACATCCAAGAAAGTAGCGAATGTGTCGCCTGCCACATCTCCAATCTCCGCCTTGTCCATGAGCATCTCGTAGAACAAGTTTGCTGCATTCTGCTCTTCGCCCTCTTCTTCCTCGGCTCCGTTCTCTTCGTCCGGGTTCTCCGCATTTTCCTCCTTGATACCCTTCTCCGTCTTCACGGCCGTTCCTGGGATGTAGAATCGCATCTCAACAAGTTCGTCCGGACCCGAAGCGGCCTTGCGACCACGGTTCTTCGTGCTACCAGCCGGTTTGGCGGGCTCGTTACCCTCGCCACCAAGAGCAAATTCCACAGCGACTTCATTCTTTCCGGCAAGGTTCGTGTTCGATATCTCGGAGTAGGGGATTTCGAATGCCGGTCGGTTCTGCACGTTGAAGGATAGTTCTGCTTTGGTGAATTCTGCCTTGCCCCAGTTCCATCCACGAAGAGCGTGCTCTCGGCTTTCCATGTTGATACCATACCAGATCTTGAAGGCTTTGCTCAATCGCTCGAAGTCCTAGCGTCCACGGAGGCAAAGATTAGAACAGCCTCTTTCCTCATATTGACATCACTCAGACTTATTCCCGGACATACCTCCTGGTCAAATCCATCAAGCTGGATGACTCCCGAGGAGCGCGACAAGATTTTCAGCTCATATCCCTTTGCTGCTCGACTCCATTGGGCTGCGCCGATATTGCTGCTGTCAAGAGTGAACGTTTCGCCTCCACCGGAAGGCTTCCATCCTAAGCCAGATTCCGCCAGCTTGCACTTTCCATGCTGCTTCGAGAGGTCGAGATAGATGTTATCGAAGCTCTCCCTAGAAGAAAGAGTAATTAGCCCCGTAGCCGGCGATGATAGTGAAGACGCTCACATTTTGGAGGAGCCCTCAAGGGTGTCACAATAAGCGTATTGGGTATTGAAAGAGTCGAATCAGTTGCCCTCAAAGCGGCGACAAATTCCAATAGAATGGTTGGTGAGTTGAGTGTGCTTTTTGCAGATAAGGTGTTTGAGCTACTTCCGATACTGAGCTCCGATATCCTTTTTCCTGGAGTCTCGCGTTGCGCGCGGCTATGCCTCTTACGCGGTGCGGCAAGTTCCTGGCACCACTTCTGCAGAATTGGTTTAGTGTTTGGTGCCTGAGGCAGTAACAGTCAACCACGGTCAAGATGTCTGGTTGCCTAATCTCAAGTGAGGTGGTTGTCATAACACTGAAGAATACTCATATTATTAAATTCAAGATCAGTTTGCTTGCTCACCACTTCAGGAGGTAGACCTCAGAAACAGGGTTGTTACTGTCCGATACTGCTAGCATGGGTTTGATCTATGTCACTCAACATATTGAGACGAGGGGTGCTCGGTAGTGATACATTTATATTAGTACTAATTTATCACTTGTAGTGTTACTTTTAGTAGTTAGGGCACATTCCCACACACTCATGTTGGCATCACCTTGACTTCGTTGCCCGTAGTACGACTTGTGGAGTGTTATTCGGATCTATATATTTCGGCTAATACTTCCACATAACGTACATTGAAGTTATTGCTACTACTATTCCAGCAGCATATCTCCGCCGAAGAATTACAAGCCAGAAAACTACTAAATGACCGTAGTATATAGGAAAAATTTCCAGAAGCGAACAAGCGTCGAGAACCAAGCACCCATTTAAAATAACGCGATTAACGAATAGTTACTAGACTAATTGTTAATCGCCCCCATAGTCAGAACTAACTATGAGCCCACAGCCAAAAGCGAGCAGTTGGTAGTCTAGAAAAACAAGAGAACTATATCCAACGTCAGTGCAACTACGCCAATAAATTTTCTATTGGAGACCATGCAGATCAACCGTCTACTTTCTACGTCAGATGATGTGCCGCGAGTGACAGTTAATGACTGGGCATCTCCGGTAATCCGAGCCATTTCATAATCTGAGCATTCATGGTTTCTGGAAGATTTTGGATACATTTCATTCCTGACCAAGCTTGGCCTAGCCATGGTGCTTTCTGCGCATATGTAACCTGGGGACTATAGTTCTGTTGGGGACCTCGCGTGCACTTGTTGTATGTCGAGGACGAGATGGATAAAGACGGCCTTATTGCTCCCGTCTCCAGAAGATTGCCTGACTGACAACTGGGCTCTTACTTGCAGTGTTCTATTCATTCTCGGGATACAAATTTTACATATCCAATGCATGCTGGCAACGACAGGGTTCATCTGACTTGTCACTATAGGAGGCCACGATTGCTCTTGGCAAGGCATGTACATGAACAGGATGGCATTTACATTTGATAGAGAGAGCTCCCCGCGTGTATGGTTTATATCAAGGTCTAAAGCAAAATATAAGTACGGAGTACATCGAAGAAACAAACAACTACTGTTCTGGAATCCTACAAGAAAGGATATCACGAATCCATCCCCGTAGCAAAGACAGAAAAGTCAACCCACACAGCACTGTCTGTGACGGGTGTGATATCTAACACTATGCAGAAATCCTGGGGGCTAAGCACTAATATCACCTGATGCAGCTTTTGATTATGGTTCGAGGGAATGAGATGAATACTGTCGGTGAGTGCCCAAAACTCGTGATTCTATACCTGAGAGTATGAGACGGCTGCCTCCAGGCGATAATAAGAAGGATTGAGTCTAGTACAGAGCAGATCAGAATAAACACGATGTAGCTGCATGTAGGTGTATCGTGTTAGATAAACCTAATGTAGCTCCTGCGGTGGGTATATGGAATTAGACTTCTATAACCTGTTCATGCGACTCTAGCTGCATAGTACACCGCCAGTAAGGATGATTTCAATATGGTGGAATGCATTGATCCTGGACTGACGTTTGTGAAATGAAGACCTCTAGAATGTTTAACTTCGTCCCAGTCTCCCGATGCTGCCCGTCATTACTGTCGCTGTGACGGCGTCCAATACTAGGCGTCCGGTGAATGGAGAAGATCACCTAATAATAGGAAACCCACCGGCTGCAAGGTGTCTCTCATTCGGAGGCGCAAGTAGT